AAAAAGTTTTCCCAATATCACACATTTTCGTCATAAATTTGTATTGAGAAAACAAAAGTTGACCTTTAATTTATTAATTATCCAATTAAATTCATCCACTTGGCACCAACACTAAGATTAATGTCGGCTTTGACATTTCCCTATATACATTTATGACAAAAAGGTGCCCTTAATCTGTTTGAAAAACCCCTTTTTTCTATTGCTTTCATGTTTGTTTGAGAGGTTTAAAGAACAAGATTCAATGTGCTTTTAAAGATCATTTACTATAACGAAGAATAGCAGAGGCTAGCTTAGCTTATTTGCACTCATAAAAGTGGTTCATTAATAAGCTGGCAAACAATTCCAATAAAATGTGCTCCATGAAGACAGTTAAGGTAACTAAAAGTACATGTTCCACAAGCAAACCCCTCATATACCTGTTGAGCAAAGGCTGCTGCCTCAATAGCAGCAGCTGCCAGACTGCTAGACTGTGAAGGTACTGATGTCCCTGATCCTGGCCCGAGAATGCTTTTTGCATAGGCTACTCTTAAGATCTGCCCATTCTTCTCAAGTGTTGTTCCATTTGCTGCCTCAAGAGCTTTTGTAGCATCCTCAACCTATATAAAATCAAACATGCACCTCTACATTATAAGTAAATTCGTCACTGGTAAGATAAATGGGAGAAAAGATTATGCCACATTGAAATTAAGTAATCAAGAAGGGGGGACACAAGCTTTCACATAGCCTTCAAGCTGGTATGACATGGAATACCAAGCATACAATAGCTACATTAGTGCCTTTGGCTATGAAGGCCAGACAAGTGACACACCACATCAAACATGAACAAATGAAAGACAAGTCAAAAGTTTCAGCACTAATTTGCAGATTGAGAATTTTCATTTGTAGACTGAAAGCATGAGACAAGGTCCTTCTCTCTCTCTATATATATATTCTATCTGATTCTTTCAGACATGGGGAGATTGAAATTGACTGTGAACAGGTAGACCACTAGAACATTGTCATGACACAAAAGTAAATCTTTTTCTCTTTCCTTTTAAAAGTCACTCATTGATGGAAATTACTCACACTTGAAAAGGAAAAAGGGATTCATTCTTACGCAAAAGAAACAAGAAAAGCAGCAGCTTTAAAAGAAATAAATGTAGAAGAAAGATTACAATCAGAATTTATTCTTTATCCACTCAAATGATGAATGCCACAAATCCAGCCATGCACTAAGTGTGCAGGCCGACCAAACAAATAAAATTATAAATGACAATAAAAACTATTTGCTTTTAGTAATGGTTAACAGGTCTACTGTGTTCAAAACGTCACTTGAAGTTGTTATGTGTCACATGAACAAAAAATTGTAAACATGGATATTCTTCCAAATCCTCCTCAGAACCTCCTTTAAAAGATACCATATAATGATAAGCATCTAAATTAGCCATAAAAATCAGCTTTATTCAGATTCTAACTAATTAGATCCCCCCAGTCCACATAACCATTCATAAATTAAGAAACAAGACATACCGAATGGAAATGAACAAAAGCAAAGCCCCTTGAAACATGTGTGAACTTGTCCCTAACAAGACGTAGATCCTGCATATTTGAAAATAGCTCAAACTTTGCTGCAGCTAATGAGGATTAAAAATTCTTCTCACAGAGCAACACTGATATATACCTTTATTGGAGCATGTTTAGAAAACTCATATCGAAGCATTTCCTCATCAGCATTTTCATCCAATCCACGAACAACCAAAACATGCGTAGGACCTGTTATATATCAACTTAGTGAATTGCAGAAAAGATATGCTTAGACATGCCAGCTCAAAATAACAGCTAAGCAACCTGATTCTGATCCTTTCTTTCCCAATGATGCCGAATTTGATAAAGACATATCTGCTAGTGGAGCATCATCAGCCCGTGGCTCATTACACTGCATTAAAAGGAAAAGAAGATGCACTATCCTCATACCAAATCCAGTGGATACAATCCTAAAATTACATAGGTTACAGCTTTTTGCAGCTGAACTGCAGAACCACTCCAAATCCAACAAATCACCCAAGCAAAAGAATTCTATCACAATGATAAGATGATAGCATTTTTCCATAAAACAATAAAGTCGATTGTCCTTTTGACATCTCATATTCAAGCATAGCCCCAGCCTAGCATCATCTCCCAAATGCTTGTTACACACATGAGTACATGGTTATTACATAATCATGGCCCAGTGACAAAAGTTACTAAGAAGGATGATTTGAATGTATGGCACACAAAACCTGCTTTTTATGGTTAATTTATAATAAAAAAATTTTAAAGAGTACTGAGGGATAACCAACCTGAAAGCATGACGTTCGTCGAGCAAAATTGACACAGCCACAGATAGTACACATCCAATCGGATGGCATTGTCATGCTCTTCTTGCCAGAATGACCTGATTTTCCACTACTCTCATGACCAAAAGGTGCACCAGATGCCCCAGTTGGCTTACTACTGCAATAGAATACATTTCAAATGTGCAATTATTTTGTTTTCGAAATGAGATGCATTCCAGGACTGCTACATGTCAAAATATCATTCAGACTTCTACGTTTCTTTTTAAACAAAATGAAAACAAAATAGGCACTAAAAATTTGAACTGATGATAGCTACAACAACTGATTGAGATTGACATCTTTCCTACTTTCATCTGCAGATTGCAAGAACAATTTTTATTATTGTTGCTGCCAGAAATTCCAGTACCATTACCATATTCTTTGCTTTCTAGCCATTCATTTGCCCTCATGATTCAATCAATTATTTCACTTCCTATTTTCTCAATTAATCCAAAAAGGCTAAAACCCTCAAAAACATCATAATTCAAAATATAAATTTCCTCCATGACTTTTCAAAAGCCATGCAATCAGAATTCTAGAATCCATTATACATCATAAACCCAAATTATATTATGGGAAGAATATGTACCTGTACTCAAAGAAAAGCTTCCTACCATCCACAACAAGACCATCATCCCCAATCCTGTCCATCATAGCTTGCGCTGCCCCCTTTTTGACAAGAACATTCAGTATATATGGCCAATCATAATAAAAAATAAATAAATAAACCAATTGACAGATAAACACAGTTTGATACCACAGAAGGAAAATCAACAAAAGCAAATCCACGAGAGATGCCAGAGTTTCGCTCCTTGATCACACGGACATGACGAAGTGGCCCCCATTCAGCCTGATTGCCAAACAATATGTGTTTAGTATTACTAAGGATCAATGTAGGCATAAATAATTGTACTCAAAGCCAGAAGAAAATAAAAATAAAAATAAAAGATGCTCCAATTAAAACATTACAAGGATTTGGTATAAATCTTCCTCGGTTATTTTCTGTGAGAGACCCTTTACTACAATCGTGGCAGATGGCACCTACAAGAAAACACTAAATTTAATCCAGAAGCCCAGCTTTCGGGAAAAGAAAATAGCAACCTAGTAAAAATGGTCATGGAGGAGATAATATAAAATATACCACAGAAAAACGGTCATGCATATATTTGTCTTCCCGGTCCCTTCGCTTCTCAGTTCTCTCATTCCGTCCATCTTCATAGCTATCCTCTCGATGGCTTCGGCCATGGCTTCTACCTCGAGGAGACCTTGATCTAGAGCGATCATCATGTCCACGAGATTGGGACCTTGACCGGTCATGCCTTCCACGTGGACTCTGATCTCTTTCTCGACTCCAACTTCTCTTATCACGCTCCCTTTCACGTGATTCACGCCTCCTCCAATTGCCATCTCTCCAACTGCCTCTATCATAATCAGAATCAGAACCATGTCGACCATATTCGTAATCCCTCTCACGGCTATCTTCCCTATTCTGATGGGATATTCGAGGCCTATAGTCATAATCATCATATCCATAGTCACCTCGATCATGTCCCCCAATCCTAGAGGACCTGTCAAATTCATGATCCTGATAGTCGTCACCACCACGGTAGCCATCATGGAAATCTTGAAATGAATCCATGTCATGATCATGAAAAGTATCCACTTTGTTATGTGAATCAATGTATGGTTTCTGATGCCGCCTAGAATACCGATCAAGGGGATACTCTTCCTCATAACTTCTCCGTCTAGATTGAGGCCAAAGACCCGCACCAGGTGGAGGAGGGTATTTCTCCCTCCCCAAAGGATCACGGTAATAAGCATTCCTTGGATAAACATTATCTCTTGAGTACCTTTCATCTAGGAACCTCCCTCCATCATATGAACTGCCAATCCTGCCACAGTAAGATGCATCCACGATGGAGGAGAAAGATAAAACACGGTATCATGAACTCAAAAATAAAGTAAATAAATATATTTTTTTACTCATATATACAAACAAACTAACATCAATACACCAAAGAAAACACTCATACATCCTTCTATATTTCTACTCACACAATTATTTCTCATTCCCAAATTCGCATAAAAAGAAAACATAAAAGTAAAGACCACAAACTTTTCAAACTCTTTTACCCATGAGAACTAAATAACCAAGAGGATGATGACAATCATCTCTCAGCACTCACCGCAAATTTGGCTCATGGACAGCATCATAACCCTCAATAGCCTGTGGATTCAAGAGAGAAGCTAACGTCAGCAACAAACTCAATCATGTTAGGAGGTTAGGCAAATCCAGTCCATATCCTCACTGCCAACGGCTTTCTCATTATTCTTTAAGGATGAGATGCCCAAAAAAAATTTGGACCATGACATGATCCCTAAAAATTTCTTGTATTATCATCCCATATAGGTGATTATAAAGGAGGAAAACCGCAATTACGCTGTTATTATCCCATCCTTGCTGAAGACCATAGCGACTGTGATCCATTTCTCCCTGCAAGGCTTTTTGGTTGATTGATCAGAGGTTTCAGGAGCGAAGAATGTCTAAAACCTTTTCTTTTTCCTGTAATATATGCACAAATAGACACGGTTATGCCATGATGAACCAAGAACCATAATCTCCACGACTTGGCCTGGGCCTCCAAATTATATTACAACTCGAATCCTCAAAAACCAGACACAAAAGTCAGAAACACCCATCTTCCAAAATCTCGGTAGGACAAACGAACAGCTAATAAACCAACAAAAATTATCACCTCAACTAATCTAAGGAATGTAAATCAACATTAGAACAGCTCATCTCAAGAATCAGCAGACTTAACAAATTAACCTAAGGCAGAAAATCACAATGCATATATTGACTTGTTCATCAATTAGATCCAAAGCCAAAACAAAAAGGTTGAGATTCATTAAATCTATTAAAATTCTAATTCCTCTATCTTGTTTCTGAAATTTTTTGCATCAGAAGTACCTTCGTCGAGAAGGCCCGAGAACGGAGAAATCACAATATCGGACTCGCGAATACTCCAAAAATCCTCAATGCACCGTCAACGTCGAGCAATCTCCTTCCTCTATCTCCTGGAGCAATCTGCTAATCGGCGAAACTCCGACGATCAGATGTTTAACCTAAGACGATAGAAAAACAAAAACAACGACCGAAAAACCAGCGGCAAGACCGCGTGCGGGAGTCTTCCTTTTTTCTGTTGATTATATAGAAAATGCAAAAACCTCATCACTGGCGCCTTTAAGTTACGAGGCTTATGCAATTGAACCCTTTTAGTTCTTTAATAATCAATATAATCCTCTAGCTTTTTTCAAAATAGAAACTCCAGAATCTTTATTTTTTGTTGTGTGCTGCTGCAACGGCTAAGGACTTATGATTTGCTAGAAATGATTGGATCTAACTATGGGTCTCAAAAAATTGGAAAATGAAGATTGTCAAGTTGATCTACTGTATTGTATATCAAGGTATTTAATTAATAGACATTTGTTATTGTAATTTTTATTGTAAAAGATTGAAGTATTTTTTCCATTTTTAAATAATTTATTTGATTTATCAAGAATAAAGGTTTTAAAGAAAAAAAAAGTTTAAATGTGTTACCTTGCTGAATCTCTTTGCAAAGAGAAAAAACTTCATGCCCAAGTTTGGAAAAAAAATGTTCTCGCTTAGTCAATTTTAAATTTTATTATTGTTCTTAGTTACAACAAATACTTATTAACTTTGAAAGTGAAATATATGGATCCTTTATATTTACAAGTTGCCTTTTCATAATCTTTAAGATATAAACTCCCTAGAGACATGAACTATCTTTTTATCATCAAAGCGAAAATCATAATGTTATGGCACTAAAAGTGTTAGGAACATCGCCCTCATCATGTGATTTTATTTAAACATCTTAATATTTTTAGTACGAAGATATTTTAATTTTTCACATTCTCATCTTTTATTATATACTAATACACGTCACACTATTGTATAAGCTAAACAATAATTCCAACAAACCATGTTCACTATCAATACATAAAAATTTATTTGATATTTATAGACATAGTGGTTGAGGTACCTATGGGACTCTACTTGGGAGAAATCTCTAAATACCAATGCTCTAACTAATCAGCACATATTTGCTAGAAAAAATAGTTTGAGAGTAAACTTGCAACCATATTCTAAAGTTTTGGGAGTATTCCCAAATATTTTGCAAAAAAGTGTACGGATGAGGAAAAAGTCCAAAAGATAGAGGAAGGAAGGCCCAAAATAAAAACCAAAATCCAAAGCATAGCCCACACACCCCTGAACAGTGCACAGGGCGCTGAGTACTCAAAAAAGGCATAACTGGGTGCACGAGCCCAACCCAACATGGACCAGACCTGCTTAAAAGTAAAACTCCTTAATCCTTATAACATTTGCTTATTATTATTATTGAAAAAAAATATAGTGCAATTTATATTTTATTAAATTACATAATAGTAATTATTAAATTAAGGTAAATTTATTAATATTGAAAATTTTTTATTTAATATTTTATATTTTACAATTTAAATTATAAAATATCTTTTTTCTTTTGCCAAAAATTTTGAAGTCATTAATATTTTGAGAACCAAACCGATAGCTGAATTATTTTGGCCATTGATTTCAGTTGAACCGATCAGATAAGCCAGTCCTTAATTGATTTATAAACTATGAAATAATTTTTTTCTAATTGATTTTCTTTTTAATTTTCATTGAGATCATTTTTGTGCTCATGATTAAAGTATCAATCAATATTAAATTAATTTCATTTCTGAAATTCACTACATTGTTAAAATTGATTGATTTTAAAATAATTTTATTTCATAAAATTATTAAAATACTTAATATATTTTTCTTTTATCAACCATCTAAAACATTAAATGTGTATTAATTATAAACTTTTTTGTATTTTATTGCTTTTATTTTCGAAATTGATTGCTTGAGATTACTTTTAATTTCAAATTAATTTCATGGAGTAAAATAGTAACTTACTTTTAAATTTCTTGTATTCCTAATATTGATTTCTAACTTGAAATAGTAACTTAGTTCTAAATTAAATTGTAAAATTAATTTAAAATTTTTTATTCTTAATAGTAATTTAATTTTAAATTAATTTCATAAGAAAATAATTTTTTGTATCTTAAAGGTGTCTAAACTAATAAAAGCTTGAAACTTTATGTCAAACATGTGACTTTTAAACATTAAAATAAATTTTATATATTTTGAGAAAAGGAAGTAATATCCTTGATCCATTGCAGATTTCTTATCAAATGTTTAAAAGAAATGATTATTCATTTATATTATAGTTAAATTAAATAGTAATAGAATTTCTTATTTTATATTTTTTTATTTTAAAATAATTTTTATTTTTAAATTTATTTAAATTAATTATTTTTTTTATTTTTTAAGATAGATAAATATTTTT